GTTGCTGTAGGAGCGGCGGCTACCGTAGTTGCCGCGGGAGTGCCTGCAGCTGTTGTTGCTGCAGGAGCGGCGGCCACCGAAGTTGCTGCAGAAGCTACTGCAACTGTTGTTGCTGTAGGAGCGGCGGCTACCGTAGTTGCTGCAGGAGCGGCGGCTACCGTAGTTGTTGCAGGAGCGGCTGCGACTGTTGTTGCTGCGGGAGCGCCCGCTACCGTAGTTGCCGCAGCGGTGCCCGACTGGGTTGTTGCTGAAGCAGCGGCAGCAGCAGCTGCGCCGGACGTTGAAGCAGCGGCAGCAGCGGCCGAGCCTCCTGCTGTCGTGGCTGCGGCAGCTGAAGCTCCGCTATCTGTTGTAGCTGCAGCGGCGGCTGCAGCAGCCCCGGAACTTGCAGCTGGCACTGCAGTCGTGGGCTGCTGCGTCGTTGCCGGAGCAGTAGACGGCCCCTCAGTCGCTGGCACCGTGGTTGCTGCAGGCGCAGTTGTCGCAGGCAGAGTCGTTGCTGGAGCTGTCGTTGCGGCCACCGTTGTTGGCGCCAATGTCGAGCTCGTTACTACAGCTGGTGCCGCAGCATCCGCGACCCCGTTCACCGCAGAGGCAAATTCTGAGGCTTCTGCGGCCACACTGGTCTGCACGATCGCGAGCAGAGCGCCTGGTGGCTTCGCTCCAGCTGCTGACGACCAAACCGTGTCTGCCTTCGCAATTTGGTCTGCCGTCATACCAACCGAGACCGTTGCGGTCACTTCAGGAGCTCGCTTCAACTCCTCCACCAGAAGTTCCAGTTGATTGACAACATCTCGCGGCTTGTCGTCAGCATCGAGCATCAGCATCGACGTTCCGCTGACTTGCAGGGTGCAAGTCGTGGCGTTCACGTGGAGGCCGTTGACGCCCAGAGCCGTGAACGTGCTCACAACCGCTTGCTTCACTGCCTTATTGACGCCGGCGCTCGCAGCGAAGGTCTGCACGGTCTGGCCAGTAGCCGAACTCAAGTCCAAGGACACGGTGAATTGGACCTGCTTCAGCGTCGTAGATGGCGGACCCGTAGATGCAGGCATCGCCGTAGATGCAGGCGTTGTCGTAGATGCAGGCGTTGTCGTCGTAGCTACCGGTGCAGCAGTGGTCGTCGTCGTAGGAGGTACGACAGTAGTCGTTGTGTCAGGTGCAACAGTAGTCGTGGTCGCAGGAGGTACGACAGTAGTCGTAGTGTCAGGTGCAACAGTAGTCGTGGTTGCAGGTGGTGCGACAGTAGTCGTTGTGTCAGGTGCAACAGTGGTCGTCGTCGCAGGTGGTGCAACAGTAGTCGTTGTGTCAGGTGCAACGGTGGTCGTGGTTGCAGGTGGTGCAACAGTAGTCGTTGTGTCAGGTGCAACGGTGGTCGTGGTTGCAGGTGGTGCAACAGTAGTCGTTGTGTCAGGTGCAACGGTGGTCGTGGTTGCAGGTGGTGCAACAGTAGTCGTTGTGTCAGGTGCAACGGTGGTCGTGGTTGCAGGTGGTGCAACAGTAGTCGTTGTGTCAGGTGCAACGGTGGTCGTGGTTGCAGGTGGTGCAACAGTAGTCGTTGTGTCGGGTGCAACGGTGGTCGTCGTCGCAGGAGGTGCAACAGTAGTCGTTGTGTCAGGTGCAACGGTGGTCGTCGTCGCAGGAGGTGCAACGGTTGTGGTCGTCTCCGGAGCCTGAGTCGATGTGGACGTTACAGTGCTGGTCGCTGCCGGAGGCAGCGGGATAGCCGTAGACGGTGGCTGGGCATTCGCGACAGCGATCACCCTGTGAAGATGAGAGGATGTAGCTTACTATCGCTTTTTTTTTCTTATCGTAAGTCCACCTCTTTGCCAAAGTAGAAGAGAACATCTTCATCTCTATCTCAACGTCTGGACTATTAACATGAGGATCTTCAACTACGAGACTGAAGATACAGGATAGATCTTTATCTTTTATCTTCCAGCAGCACTACAGTACAGCTTCAACTGTAAGTCCATGGAGTTTGAGTTCCACGTAGGAAAAATGTCGATCAGATTGAAAAATGTCGACCCCCCAACAAAGTAAGTAGGTACCTGAAAAGACTGACGTCCCGTACGTAGTGCGAGGCAAAATTGCTCATGATCTTGAGCCCTTCGTAGCTCAAACCGTAGTACGGGTACCAGTACTCTGCCAACTGGAACAAGTCCGGTCGTTCTGGCATGCTCACACCAATCACACACCGTACCGTAGTCGCATTCGGTGCTGCAGCTAGGAGGAGTACGGAAGCGCGCACTTCTAGCGCGAATCTGCTGACGTTGGCAAGGGTGAAGACTTGCAGGTTCTGGTGTAGCTTGCCGAGCGTCGACAGCATGGCGTTCTTAACCGCCTTCTGGATGTCAGTGTTGTCGACAAAGTCTTGGGCCGTCAAATTGTTCGTCTTCTGTGTGTCGACGTACAGCGAGAACGCCCTGACGATCTCATAGCTTGGAGTGGTAGTGGACGTAGTAGTCGTGTCGCAGTCTGGACACGGCGTGGTCGTTGCGGGACCAGCTGCATTCGTCACTTCCGTGATGTTAAACGCTTTGCCAGTTGATGTGCCGACAGCGGTGTTCAACTTGTCCTGCAGCACAGCCAAATTGGGTGCTGAAAGACCGCCACTGATGAACTCGGGCCAGGCAGCCGTAGCTTTCTGGTACTCCTCTGCGGTCATGCGGACAGCAGCGCGTACCAGAATAGTGGAGGTGACTGGAGCGCCTGTAGTTATGGTAAGTGTACTTAACAAGTGAGATGAATATTGGGAACAAAATGTTTTTTCGTACAAGCTGGACCTGGACTAGAAGCTTCACAGGGACACGACATGATCTTTAAGATCAAGACTAACGAGGCTAAGGTAACGGGGTACCTCTCCTTCGCCTCGCTTGGTCGAGAAGCATGTAGAAGAGGTTCGTGGCTGTCGAAGATGGGTTTTCCATGTTGGTTAGGTCAATCCTACGCACATCTGCAGTCTCGATGCCGGAAACACCGATCTGCGAGAACGTTTGACTGACACCAACAGCCACCGCCTGAATAACCAGCGGGTCAACCGTGAAGGCGTAGCCCGTCACGTTCTTGCCACCTGAAAGGAGTGTGAGGGATGAGAGTTATTTCATTCTTTAAGTTTATGGGCTCTTAGAAGTGTGCGGAACAACTGTTGTGATCGTTATACCGATTTTTTTAGAATTCTTGTACTATATTTTTTTTTGAAAATACTTCAAAGTATTTTTCCAAAGAAAATAGTACCAGCTTTCAGATCGACCTCCATGTTGAAGTATCTCTCCAGGTCTAGCATAACCGGAGTCGTCGTAGTGGTGGTGGTAACCACGGGATTTGCGACGCCGGTCACTGCAAAGCCAACCTTCGCAACCGCAGTCGTCACTTTTCCGTTCAACGTCGCGAGACCGACTGCAGGCAAGCCGCTTGTTGGCCAAGCGGTTGTTGCAGATGAGGACTGGGTCTTGCTGAGTTTGACGGACACGACAGCCTGGATCTGGGCTGTGTTAGCACCAGCAGCTTGAACGGTGTTCAAAATGTTGTTCAAGCTACTTGCACTTGAAGAATCTTCCGCTTCAACGAGAAGTTGAGACGGCTCCGCTAGGAAGTCGTCGGGAGCACCGATCCCCTCCTGAGCATGTAGCATGAGCATGCTGGGTGAAGCGACGCTCAGGTCCACTGTACTGCAAGTAATCGGCGGCGCATTGCCCACTCCGAGATCCACGTAGGTTTCAGCAGTCGCCTTTCCGATTGCTTCTTTCACTTGGGCGTTTGTCGTGAAATTCACTGCACCGCTGCTGGTGCCAGTGAAGTCGACGGTCATGACGAAGGTACGGACGACCTCCTCTTCTTGTGGGACAGGTGTAGTAGTTGTGGCCACCGTTGTCGTGGTCGCCGTGGACGTGATCGCAGTTGTCGTAGTAACCGTCGTCGAGGTCTCCGTTGACGTCGTCACAGTTGTAGTCGTGGTCGTGGTCGTCTGTTGATGTGGGAAAAAAAGATTCTTAAGGACGAAAACAAATTGACTCTCGGTTTGACATGATGTTCAAAGTTGTACATACTTGATGAAGATCATGCTGAAACTGTGCTTCTGCTCCTGACCCAACAACTACAACTACCACGAAAAAGAATCAGAAGTTAGACAATGATAAAAGATTAAGAAAGTATGACAGAGACAGACCACAATTTAGTATATATGTGTTTAGGAAGTAGAACCATTCTTCAAAGAGAAGTACCGTCGTCGTTGCAATGCCCACACCTGTAACAACAATCGGAAGCCCACTCGCATTCACCGCACTTGCCAGCATTCCACTCATCGTAGCCAAGGCTGAATTGGATAAGCCCGCTGCTGGCCATGCGGCAGTGACCGTGCTTGGTGAGATTCCGATTGTAGCAGTAGCCTGAAGCGTCACAGCAGTAGTTTTCTGCTGTGTGTCGAACGTGATAGCGTCAAGGAAGTAACTCAGCTGCAATAGCAGCGAAGAACCAGCATTAGGATCAGCGGTAGTAGATCCCTTACCATCGTCGACGACCTGAAGATTGAAAATTCGTTTCTCCATCTTCATCCAGATCACTATCCTAACATGATAGACTTCAACTTCTAGTACAGGACGATCACGATGTCGATGACGAACACCAGTAAAACATTTATATAAATATATATAAATTATAATGCATTTCATCATTCAAGAAGAAGTAGAAGTACCGCCAAAGAGACGCTTGTCACATCATCAGGGTCTGTCGGCACGCCGCCTGCGGTCAAGAACGTAGAGAATCCATTTCCAAGGGCTTTCTGCAAGGTTGGATTCGCTGCTGCGCTAGAGGCCGTCAAGTTTCCTCCCAAATTCATGGAGATGTTGGCTTCTCTTTTCGTCTCCTGCGTTTCGGTGGTCGTAGTGTAGGTCTTGGTCTCCGTCGATGAGACCGTGGTCGTGGTCGTTGAGACCGTCGTGCTGGTCGATGTCGACGTGGTTGTCGTCACGATAATCGGCGTGGTGCCACGATAGAAGAGGACACGACCCGCAAGCGTCTGATTCACGTTCGCGGCCAACTCGCTCATCAAGTCGTCACTGAACTTGGTCGGCAAACCACTTACTGCACCCCACGTCGCGTTGATCGCATCGATTTCGACCGGTGGACCCTGGAACACAGCTACAACTTGCATCGTTGCGATATTCCATGGCGCAGACGTCGAAGACGGATCCGCATCAACTTTAGAAGCAGTCTCCAAGAAGGACGTTCTTGCATCGTCTGCAACTACAGCATTCTCGTCCTCGCCGCTCTCCACGACCAGTCCTTCCTCAGGTCCTTCCATCAACATCATTGACGCCGAACCCGTTGTGCTCGTCGTCGTGCCATTCACAATCGCATCGATCTGCGTAGTGATGCTCAAATCCGAGACGTCCTGACCCGCACTTAACCCGATTGCTTCCGTCACGAAAACGATCGAGTCCATCACCGCATCCTCTAGTTGCGACAATTTTGCAACACCGTCCGCGTTCAAGCTTGAATCCAAGATGTTCACCTCGAACGTGAATCCACGATGCAAAACCGGCAGCGTCGTTGTCGTCGTGAACGTCGTGGTTGTAGTCGTGCTTGTAGTCGAGCTCGAAGTGGTGGTAGTCTCGGTCAGTGTAGTCGAAGTCGTGCCCGTACTCGTTGTTGTTGTACTGGTTCCAGTGAAGGTTGTTGTCTTCGTGCCGGTCACTGTGCTTGTCGTACTGGTGGTGGTGCTCGTTGTGCTGGGCGTGACGGTCAACGTCGTAGTGCTTGTTACCGTACTGGTGCCCGTGGTCGTCGTACCCGTTTGCGTGGTCGTACTCGTCGACGTCTCAGTTGAAGTCAGAGTCGAGCTCGTCGTTGTGGTCACTGTCGACGTCGTCGATGTGCTCGTCGTTGTCGTAGCTACGAAGAACACTGGGGCTTTCTCCGTCACCACCTTGAACTGAGTCCTCAAATACGAATCGAGATCGACTGCCACAGCCAAACGTTTGAGCAAGTCCTTCGCCAATGGGACTGCAGAAATGCCACTCGTGGTGTTCCACACGTTACCCAAGGTATCCAAGCTGTCCTGAGGACCTCGCACTCCGACCGAAGCCAGGATTGTGTTGTTGCCTTTACCTTCGTACAGAACATCAAACACCGTAATCGGCTGATTCGAGAAATTGTACATTGGCGCTGAGGCCGAACCATACATCACGGCGGTATTAATCTGGTCGTCCGTCATAGAACTCAGGTTTGAGATCATGACTGCGCGTGAGACAGCTGGCGAATCAAGGAAGTCGAGAACAGCCTTAGCAGTCAAGTTGACAAGTAAGCCACTATCCGCGACATCCTTATCCGTCAGGCTTTTGTTCGTGAAGTTCACCTCGAATTCCACGCCGTAGTAAAGCTCTGGCAGCGTCGTGGTCGTTGAAGTTGTGCTGGTCGTCGCAGTCGTTGTCTCCGTGATCGTTGACGTTTGCGATATTGTCGTCGTACTAGTGCTCGTCACTGTTGAAGTAGTCGTCTCAGTCGTCGTCACTGTTGTCGTCGTTACTGTTGTCGTCGTCACTGTTGTCGTCGTCTCCGTTGTCGATGTGCTCGTGGTGGTCGTCGTTGTGGTCGTCACCACCTTGAACACTGGCTTCTCCGGCAACACGACAAAGAACTGACTGCTCAAGGTTGCATTTGCTTCTGTTGTTTTGGCGATGCGGGTCACCAAATCGATTTCGAGACTCTCTGGGTCCAATCCGCTAGAAGCGTTCCAGATTGTCGCCAAAGCATCTAAGCTAGCACGCGGTCCTCGAACGCCGATAGTTGCCAAAATGGCACCGCAATTCGCCGTGTTCGCGGAGTTGCTAATCGTAGTCATAGCACTGGCGTCGCCCAGAGACAAGTCGACTTCTGCACTCATTGGCTGAGGCGCGAAGTCGTGGCCGGAGGCTTTGGTTACGTTAGCGCTGTTCAGGAAAGCAATCAAAGAGTCAGAAATCGCATCTTTAAAGCCCCTCTCGGCAATAACGTCGTTGTCGGTTAAGCCAGTGGCTGTTCTGTTAACCAAGAACTCTACACCGTAGTGCACCTGTGGCAGAGTTGTCGTCGTGCTGGTCGTCGTCGATGTCGTCGTTTCGGTCAGCGTTGTGGTGCTCGTCTGCGTAATCGTGAATGTCGAGGTCGTCGTCTGAGTCACAGTGGTGGTCGACGTCCTCGTCACAGTTTCCGTCGCCGTCGTTGTCGTTGCAGTCGAAGTTGTTGTTCCTGTCTCCGTTCCAGTAATCGTCAAAGTCGTGGTCGCTGTAGTCGAAGTTGCTGTCGCTGTTCTAGTGCTTGTGATTGTTTCTGTTCCCGTCACCGTATTGGTTTCCGTAATTGTTGACGTTTGCGATGTCGTCGTCGTACTGGTGCTCGTCACTGTCGAAGTAGTCGTCTCAGTCGTCGTCACTGTTGTCGTCGTCTCCGTTGTCGATGTGCTCGTGGTGGTCGTCGTCGTGGTCGTCACCACCTTGAACACTGGCTTCTCCGGCAACACGACAAAGAACTGACTGCTCAAGGTTGCATTTGCTTCTGTTGTTTTGGCGATGCGGGTCACCAAATCGATTTCGAGACTCTCTGGGTCCAATCCGCTAGAAGCGTTCCAGATTGTCGCCAAAGCATCTAAGCTAGCACGCGGTCCTCGAACGCCGATAGTTGCCAAAATGG